TTACCCTGGGGAGTAACTATTTCAAAGCAGCAGCAGTGGAAGCATCCACGCTACCACCACTTCAAAGTAACTCTTTGGAAATAAGCGCTATTCTCCGAGAAAAGCAGGTGCGCAGATTTCAAAGTACTCGGCCCCTTATTTTGAAATAACGGGCTCCGTAGTATAGACGCTCCGCTTATTATTTCGCCCTGAGGAGGGTTAATTCACCTTCCGAGTGCGGACCAGGGCTCAGGGACACGCGTGTGGAACCTGAGTCAGTGTGGTTCATGGCCTAGTCTGGATTTACTCCGGTCTCGGTGAGAGCAGAATGTGGCCCAGTGCAATTATCCCTTCCATCTTAGGGGCCCCAAGTGAGGCCTGGAGTGTGCAAGAAATACCTTGCACAGGTGACGGCGGGGGTGGGCAAATCCCAGCCGGTGGCCTGGATGTGGTTTACCAGGGTTAGTCCTGCAGCGCCTGTTGGCCACAGCACCCCTCCCAGCCAATAGGAGCTTTAGGAAGCCATGTCCCGGTCTGCATCACTTCCCACAGCTCCCATTGGCTGGAAATGGCGATCCGCAGCCAATGGAAGCTGCAATCGCCTGTTCCTGCAGAGGTGCGGGTAAATATAGTGGAGGTAGCCCACGAGGAGCTAGCCTCAACGAACAGCTGCTGGTTTATTGCCCACCTGGGATGAAGGGCACCACGCCCTGCCCCTTGCATGTTACACCACGATCAGCTTCACCGTCGACATCTGCGCACTGACTCGAGTGACAAGCGACTTGACCAGAGCCAGGCCCAGTGCTGGGAAGCCTGATTCTGGCCTTGAACACGCGTCCGCAGAGAGCTTTGCACAGATGCGCTAGCCAGGTCCGTCCCAAGCTGTTAGGGAGACATGGTGGGGGAGGTCTCATCTTTTATTAGAGCAATGGCTGAGAGTGCGAGAGAGAGAAGCTTTCGAACCAACCCCGGCCTCCTCTGCAGGGTTGGATGCTGTTCAGTGTGGCTGCCTTTTGCGCCGTGTGTGACGTAGTGGGGGTACTTGCTGGGCTGTGGTGACCCCTGCTGTCTGGAGCAAGACCCAGCAGGGAAAACCTCGCTAGGCAGAGGTAATGCCAAACTTGTTGAACCAGTGGCCAGACACCCCCCATGGAGAGGAACAAAGGAAGGTGGAATGCTGCCCTGGCTGGGGGGCAGGGCTGCAAGGGAATTTAGTTAGTTACTGTGGGAGAGCATGGAGGAGAGCCTAGGAGAAGGGGCTGGAGTTTAGGGGCCCAGTCTCCCCCATCTCAAGGGGGCCTGAGGTATCCTAGCCCAGCTCTGTGACCAGA